AGCGGGTGATGCTGATGGCGAGCCCCCTGTGTGTGCGCGCGCGAAGACACGTAAGAAAGACATAAACGTGTAACTTATAAGTAACCCTTACCGTCAGGAATAGTTGTTAAAATGATTCCAGACAGCGGTAGTAAAGGACATACTGCAAAGGGTTTGGTCAAGCACCAATATCACAGATGTCATATGGTTTCAGTGAACAAGCAAGAGCCGCCGACCACTTAGAGTCGATTAAATACTGGTCCAAAACGTTTTCCTCTTCTTCACAAAAAGCAAACCGACTTAACATACCCAGTTCTTCGGAGGGACTGACGGCGGGCCGGAAGAACGAAGTTTGGCAGAAGGCGGATCGAAGAGCTGGTGACCGTCGGGAGTTCTTTCTTTGACGAGAGCGAACAGTGGTTGGAGCTGTTATCATCGCCTCAGAGACGACAGCCTGCACACGCGCCAGAATGTCCAAGAAGGCCTTTGCTGAGGGCCGAGCTGGTTTTAGTGAACGATCCCTATAGGAAGAAACCATAAAAAAAGAAATAGTGAGAGCTTTGTAGAGGTCAAACGTCGCTGAAGACAGATCATATTGAGATGCTGAAAACACAGAAGATAGTTATACCAGCCCTCCTCCAACCAAATGTCCTTAAATTATGGTCTCTTTTAAGCATCGAATATTGCAACTTCGTCTCTGTACAAAATAACTACTTGAGTTAACTGTTTTGTGCCCATTGATCGGCCATGCCCTTATAAATTCAAAGATATTTCATAGGAAAAACTCACCTAAAATATTCTTTACTGTACTCATTTAGTGGTAAATTAAAATGTATGCTCGGGGAAGTGTCGTCTCCGGTTTAAGGAAACTTCACAATTACTAGGTTTTTGAAAACTGTGAAATTTCCATCCACAAAGTATCGTATCTGGCATTTGTCAAAACTGTTTGTAAAGTATACAATGTGATCCACATCAATTGAAAAACGTTATGAGCCGCAAACTGCAGAGACGCCTATAGGAGCACAA